AAGGAATGAATGGCAGACACAAGTAAACCTACAACAATAGTGTTTGACATGTGTAATAATAAATCTGAGAGCACAGTGCTGCCTTCACGTCCACTTACTTTCCACTCTATCCAGAAACTGGCTGTTAGGTATGGCATGAATCACCTCAATTTCCTATCTTTTCTTATCTTCACCTCCTTCACCCCACTGATGAAAAAGTGTCCCTCTTCCTGTCCTAAAACCAACTGTGCTCTCAGACATACCACTTCTTACCCCTTGTGGGGTCTTCCTCTAGCAGTTATCCAAACTCCCATATCACATTAACCAGACTTCCTGGGGTGGTGGGTTGGTTTACACTCACTGTGGCTGTTTACTTCCTTCTGACTCACTTCTCAACCCCCACAATCCAGGTTCTGCCTTAACCATCTCACTAACACTGCTCAGGTAAAGGTCCCTAGAGATTTCCATACTGCCAACACCAGGGACCACATTTCCATCTTTCTTTATTGGACCTTGCTAAAACAAGTGCCCCTGACCACTTTCCCGAAACACGTGACTATGTTGACTTTTGTGACACTACTCTCCTTGCTTGTTCTCTTCTCATTTTTAGACACTACAGTGTTATCCAAGTGTGGGCCAGGAGTCAGTGGGGGGGGGGGAGTGTCTCTGAGACCTTTCAGGGGATTCACCAGAAAAACTGTTTTATAATATAATACCAAGACATTTGCCAGTTCTACTCTCATTTTCTTATGAGTGTATAGTGGAATCTCCCAGAGGCTAAATGACATGTGATACAGCAACAGGCTGTAGGCAGACACAAATATAAGAATCTACCCTTCTTTTACTAAGACAAACATTAAAGAGATTTGCAAAAATGTCGAACGTCACTCTTGTCACTAATTTAATGGTCACTTTTCATAAAAATGTTATTTTTGTATGTAATGGGTTTATCAATTCATTTAAAAATAGGTATTTTAAGATGTTTTAGTTTTGATTTTTTAATATGATATTGATAACTATGGCACACATACACAAAGCTTTTGGGTCCTCAGTTACATTTAAGAATGTAAAAGGATCCTGAGACCCTTAAGTTGGAGGACCACATTCTTAGACTATATATCTCTCGGCCTCCTTTAGTGGTTCTTCTTTGACCAACCCCTTAAACTTTGATGTTCTCTAGAACAGCATCCTTAGCCCACTGGTTTTGTCACCATATACTAAGATTTCTCAGTCTTGGTATGTTTGACATTTTGGGTCAGGTAATTCTTTATTAGGGGGAATTCTGTGTTTAGCAGCATTCCTGGCCACTAGTATCCTCCCACCCAAACTGTGACAACAAAAATGTCTCCAGATATTGTCAGATAAAATTGTCCCCAGTTGAGAACAACCACCCTAAATGCTCTTCCTAGAAATTTCACGTAATATCAAGACCTTTTTTTTTTTTTTAAGAGAGAGTGTACACATGTCAGGGTGGGGGACCAACGGAGGGAGAGAGAACCTTGAGCATGCTCCATGCCCACCTCAGAGCCCATTGACATGGGGCTCCATCTCACAACCCTGAGATCATGACCTGAGCTGAAATCAAGACTTGGATGCTTAACTAACTGAGCCACAAGGTGCCTCAAGTACAAAAAGCACTTGACATGTATTAACTCATTTAAACTTCAAACTCTGAGAGATAAATTATCTCTGTTTCACAGAATTTCTGTTTTACAGATTAAGAAACTGCCAAACTGAGAAGTGAAATGACTCTTCCAGGGTCATACAGCAAGTAAGTGATGATGGTAACTCTAGCCCTGTTTGCTTCCCTGAGCTTTACACTCTTGTGAGTAACTGCCTTTGCTGGGCATCAGATGACATTCACTCAAGATGTCTGAAGATGTATTCGTAAGTCTTCTTGTCATAAGACCAGCTATTTCTGTACTTAAGTCAGTTAATGGCACAACTTTACACTTAATCTTTCTGTGCCTCAGGTTAACCAGTAACCTGGAAGGGATTCTAGACTCTGTTGGATTCTTTCTTCCTTATTCCTGAATCCAATCATTCATAGGGTTCTAACAAGTTTACACTATAATTATTAATCAAATATGTCTTTTTTCTCTATCTACCACTATTCTTGCCTTCATTAGACCCTAATCTCTGGGATGCCTGGGTGGCTCAGTTGGTTAAGCGTCTGCTTTTGCCTCAAGTCATGATCCCAGAGTCCTGGGATTGAGTCCTTGCTCAAAGGAGAGCCTGCTTCTCCCTCTGCCTTTGTTGCCTGCTTGTGCCCCCCTCTCTCTGACAAATAAATAAATAAAATCTTAAAAAAAAAAAGACCCTAATCTCACCTCAGCATTGGTATATCAACTCCCATTTGGTGTCTTTATATCTAGTTCTCCAAATTATCTTCTACGCTGCTGCCAATGATCTACCTAAAATGCAAATCTGGCCATGTCACTTTCTGTTTTAAAATGTTTTATTAGTTGCCTGTTAGATAAGAATAAAACCCAAGTTCCTTCGCATGGTGCCTAGGCCCCTGAGTCCACCCTCAGTCTCATCCTCTGTCACCCCCTGAATCACACTTAACTCTCTAGCAATTAAATAATCTTCTACTGTTTGTTGTTATCTGAGCATACTATGCTGATTCACACCTTTGACCCAATGTCATCTTCTGGGATATGTTCTTGGTTCTACCCCTGTGCATGCCCATCACAGCACTTAACACAGTTTGTAAAAATGGTTTCTATAACTGTGTCCCACTGGGGTTTGTTAAAAAAGGCATTGACGGTAGGTGCTTTGCTGAACCCAAAGCTCTCCAGGTTTTGCACACAGGGCAAATTAGTCTTCAGACAAGTTTTTGGAAGCACTGAAGTAAAATGGACCTGTTTGGATGGAGGCTGGGTTTGTGGATGAGGAGAATTAGGAAAACCTTTGTCCTGAGAAGGTCATGATTGAGCTGAATCTCAAAAAAGGATGAACTCAAGAGTGTTTAAAGGGCATTGTCCAATAGAGAGAACTTCACAAGGGAAAAGGGGCTCTTTTTGAAATTCACAAGATACAGCTTTAATACAGAAGGACATTATTTTTTAATAAGTTAATTAGAGATCATACTAATGGGAATCTCAGGTTTTAGGTCCATGATTTCAAGAAAGTATAAAATGATTACCAGATTCCTATAGTTAATACAGTTACATGTGTATAATAAATTTAGTTCAAAAACAACTCAATGTATAATTTGAACAATTATTTTCTAAATGTAAATTACCTTACAGTGGCTCATACAAAAACTTGTTTCCAATTTTCTGCCCACCAGTTACAGCTTTGAATGGTTTTCCTGCAGTCTACTCCTGCTGACTTGGCATTTATTCACTTCATAAAAATTTTGCCTCGAATGTGGATTTCACCACCTGGCTCATAAATCGTTTCCAAATGGATTTTTAGTAATGTAAGAGTCCTCAGAGATTACCTAGTCCAACAAGCAAATTTTGTGAACAAGAATACTGAACTACTATGGTTGACTGACTTGTTGAAGATTACATATTACATATTTTCTGAAGACTCCTTCTTGGTGATATGCTTTCATATCCACCCTAGATACGTGTGGGATATCTAGGGTACCCTCCACGTGTGTGACCTGTGTGCTGATTCCCAGTTCTTGTTCATTCTTAGTAAATTTAAATGACAAAATATCTTCTTCCAGACTGCAACTAACTGGTTACCACTTACTCACTTGCCTATTTTGTCAGTGTCTTCAACAGACTTGGTGACGTTCTTGGTGCTAAGAACTTGGTTAATTTTTCGTCAAAAATTTCACCAGTATTGCTAATATTTACAAACTTTACCTTCCAAAGACAAAGTCATTAAGTAAAATCATGCTCTCCCATGAAATGTTTCTTTCAACCATTTGACTGGTCTCACTGGTAGATACTGTTTTCAAATTTACAAGATGAATACCTTTTCTATGCAGGTATCTAAAAATTAGTCACTGCTTGAGAGGTTTAGTATTCTGTCCCATAACCAACGGTGTAATGGGTCTCCTTATCACAGGGCCTGCCACTCATATATCCATTGGGAGGGTTGTGCCTATTTGATCAGACTCTCTCCTAGGTCACTCAATCCCTAGGCTGGACAGTCACCCAAAGTGAGACCTGGCATAAATATGGCTCAACGCTGAGAAGATCAGGTAGTTAGTAGGAAACACCAAATCTGAAAGGATGCAGAGAGAAAATCATTAAGATACCTACAGTAACGATGAGTCAGAAGTTATAAGGAAGCAAAAAAGAAAGGAGAGGCTGTGAGGCAGACAGAAGATATATGAAATCAATAAGGGACTCAGGAGCAAATATGAGAAGGGGGCAGGCATGAAGCAAGTTGTGTGCTTCACTGAGGGACGAAGTTTAGACACTCATTCTCCGGCCGCAAAGATCCTTTAAGCGGTGTCCCATCTGATGAGGCCAAGATAAACGTTTCCCATCCCAGAAGTTTTTGAGTTTCTTTCCTTTACAGCTCTTTGAATCTCCTTCTTATAAACCCTGTTTTCGCCCCACGAGCTCCTCAAAGCCAGTGCCCTAAGTAGAAAGAATTTGATTCCTGCAACTAAAAAAGCTAATTAAGCACCTAGGATAGTGGCTAGAGCAAGGCTTCAGCTTTCGGACACGTGCTACTGGCTTCTCGCTTCCTCTATCGTCTCTTTGAATCCTAGGGCAAGTTCTATGCATGCGACACAGGGGTCCCAGCGTGAGCACCTGCAGCTTCCACGTCTACTCTTCTCATGGTAGAAACACACCAGTAACCACGCTCCCAGAGAACCAAGGAGTTCGACGCGGGGGAAAACATCACAAGATTTGAACGTCTCTCTGATACAAGGAAGGGCAAGCCCACCCTCCCTTTCCCCCTCCGAGGTTTCAGAGAGCCACGCTGGTCGATAGGCGCACGCTTTCCGGCGGCGGAGCCTTTGCATCCCCGTCCCGAAGTCGCCGGCGCGGGACAGGAGCTCCCTGCACCCCGGACCTCCCGGCCCCCGCCGCCCGCCGGGTCACCTGTAATTGTAGGCGCTGAAATGCTTGCTCTCTCTCAGCATCGCCCGGTACAGATCTAATACTTGTGCGCGGCTGGAGGCTGCCATTTTGGAAGGAAAAAAATAAATGGGTCCTCTTCGAGAAGGTCCCGAGTTTAACCTAACCCACGAAACTTCAGTCTATGCAAAACCACGAACGAAATAAAAGAAAATGCGGTGTGGCTCGGTCTTGCCCGCGGGCCGGGCCTGGGCCTGGACGAACACCGGCCCGCGCCTGGAGGCGCTGGGCGTCGCGCGCCGCTTCGGAGGCGGGCGCAGGCGGGCTTCGGGCAGCTTAAGGGGGAGGCGCCGACCCGGAGGCGTTCCCGTCCTCCGCCCGCGCCTCCGAGGAACCGGCGTGCAGTACCCCTACGGGAGGGCTTAGGCGGAGATGGGGGGACGGCCGCAGGGAAAGGGCTGAGCCTGTGGAGGGACGCAGGCCGGAGGCCCAAGCACTGAGTGCGTGCAGCCCGTCTAGGAGCGCCTTCGCGAAAGGCTTGAGGTCGTAGCGGGGACACTTAGTCTCCCACCGCCACGCTTAGTCGCACCTCCGCGAGGCCCGAGGGCGCGTTGCCAGGGTTACCGAGCGCGCCCCAGGTCGACGCTCCGCCCCCGGCCGCAGATGACCCGCCCCTTGCGCTGGGGCCGCCCTCTGAGCTGCCTGAGAGGCCGAGCGGGGTTTCCAGGGCGCTTTAACGTTACCGAGCTCTGTCTGTGGGCTCCCAGGGCCGGGCGCTTTCTGAGCGCAAGGACGAGACGCGCCGAGGGGGTCGCAGAGGCGATGAGTGAGGGACTCCCTGGTTCTCCGGCTACGCTCAGGGCGACCGGCTAAGGGCCTCAGGAGCAAGGACCCCCTTCTTGTCAAAATGGCAGCGCCCAGCGGGCTGTGAGGGTATCTTTAAGGGAGGGGGTGCGTCGGGTAAGAGCCTTCCCCAGGAGAGTAGGCAGCGTGCCACGCTTCAGAGTTTGAAACACCCAGGTTTGGGTCTCCTGGGCAAGCGGTGGGTAAGTGCCGGCCTCCCTGCAGCGTGGGGTGCGACGCGGGCAGTCAGTCCTGGTGGTGGGGAGTTACTTGGCCACGGGATTTCCCCCCTTTAGGGTGTTCTTTGAGTTCTGGAGGTTTTGCTTTTGAGTTTTTCAGTCCCGAAGAGTTTTGTCATCTACTGTATACAAAAGGTGGCGTGGTGTGGGTAATTAATTGGGAAAACTTAAGGGATTTAAGGAGCCTCTTCACACCCAAAGCAAGAAGCCGAGCAAGTTTTCTCTTGAAGATCTTCGTGGCTAAGTTTTCTCTCTTGGTCTTTCTCTGAAGACGTCTGCTTTCCAGAATCACCTTGTTACAGTGGTGAATAAAGTCGGTCGTTGTGATCCTTGAACGTAGGACTGGGCGCAGAGAAGCCTGAGCTAGTTCTAGTTACTGTGTTTGCAAAGCACCTGTCTTATTTTAGGACTTTCTCTGTCTATAGTCAACTTTAGGAAGAGCCACGGTTTTTTGCTCAGAATACAGCTAGGAGTGACTTTAGATGTCAAAAGCAAATTTGCCTCAACATCCGTTTTTCTTCAGCCACTGAGTTGTGGTTGTATGTCATCTCTTTAAGTTTACGTGGTTTTAAAATGACCCTTGCTTTATATCAGAGTCTCGTATTTTCTGGAACTTTAGGAGCAGGAAACACTTTTCTGATCTTGCTGCACTTTAATGTACTTGCAACGTGGTGTCCTTGCACCCAGATATACGTGTTAATATTACTCGTTACAGTGTAATAGCATTTTTTTAAACGGCGGAAGAGAACATAGTTTTTAAAAAAATATTTTATTATTTATTTATTTGAGAGAGCGAAAGCAAGAGAGATCACAGAGAGAGGGAGAAGCTGACTCGCTAATGAGCAGAGAGCCCCTCTCTGGGTTTGAATCCAGGAGCCCGAGATCATGACCTGAGCTGAAGGCAGAGGATTAAACGATTAACACCCAGGCTCCCGGAGAGAACGAACATACTATCATTATTAAACTAACTTTTTATCTTCTTTTCTTTCTTTCTTGTTTTGTTTTGTTTGTTTGTTTTTAAGGTCTCCCACAAATATGAGTATCAAAATAAGGTTTTCTACAGGGTATCTGAACTTTTGTCACTCTTTTTTTTTTTTTTTAAGATCTTATTTATTTGTCAGAGAGAGAGAGCACGTGTGCGCACAAGCAGGCAGAGTGGCAGGCAGAGGCGGAGAGAAAATCAGGCTCCCCGCTGAGCAAAGAGCCAGATTTGGCGCTGGATCCTAAGACCCTGGGATTAGGACCGGAGCCGAAGGCAGGGGCCTAACCTACTGAGCCACCCAGGCATCCCAACTTTTGTCACTCTTGCAGGATGCTCAGGTCATTGGGCAAGGCTTACCTCAAGGTTACTGAAAGAGATTTTAATATTTGAGTTTTTCTTGGCATTACTTAAAGGTTCAAGACCAAGGGAATTGCACCTTACCACAGAGTAAGATCTGGAGCCATTTTCTCTTAATATGGTACAGGAGTGCTAATGATATAAAATACAACACCTGGGAAAACTACAATAATAAAGAAAGCTATCAAGGTAAAAGGAAAAAAACCATGAAAGTTATTTTGGTTTGTTTAACAAGTGGGGTGCCTGACTGGCTCAGTTGTAGAGCATGCGACTCAATCTCAGGTTCATGAGTTCGAGCCCAAGATTGGTTGTAGAGATTACTTAAATAAACTTAAAAAAAAAAAATTAGTAGGGCCTGCTTTATTATGTATTGCTATCATCTACAAAATGAAATTGGAGTAATTATTCCTGTCTGCAGTCTTTATGTCTAATTATCGGGCAATTTAATCATTAATGTATGCAATTAATGTATTGCAATGACCTTAACATCATAATCAAATAAAGCTTTTCAAAGAAACACATAAAGTTTAGTTTGTTTGAGTAGCCTAGTCATCTGTTAGTATAAAGAATAGTTGAGATTAGGAAAGTGGTAGATTCCCCGTAGATTCTATGCTAAGCCTCACAAAAATACTTTATTTGAAATAATATACCAGTATCTTGAAAATCATTGCTTGAACAACTAATAAAAGAAATTACATTCCAAAGCTTAATTTCTATTTTTTTACACCTTTATTGTAGAGGTGACTAGTTTCAATAATAGCTCCATTTGAGGTTGAAACTGGAATTGGGTCAGTACCTGAGAATTACTTATTTATATGTCCTTTAATATGCATCTATTCTGGGCTGAATATTGTTTTAGGTACTGACTATAAGCTAGCAGTACCTACTTTTTACCATCTAGGCTTCAAAATGTAAAAATTGCCTTAGTATTCACCTGTCCATACTTAAGAAATATTTATACTTCTTTACCTATGGAAAAGGATGTATTACCTTGTATTAAAGTTAGATTGCTGGATTACTAATGAGCACTTAATGCTTTTTGAAGGGAAATTTCTCCAAACATAATAAATAGTAGGACAGAAGTTTATTATCTTAGGCTTAAATATTAAAACAATGCATAAAGAAAAATCTTGTATAAATGACCAACTTGTCACAGTATGATTTAGAAATTAAACATGGATCTAAATCTTTATTATATGTAGTTGTCATTTGTTTTTATTGATCATTCTAATAGACTACGAAGCTGGAAGAGACCTTGGATATCAATTTCTTCTTAAGATGTAGAAACTGAAGGCCTCATTCTCATTTAGTCAACATTTAGTCAACACTCATTTAGTCAACATTATTGAACACTTCCTAAGTGCTGTATATTATCCAAGATGATGGAGTTACCATGCAGAGTCCTTCTCTCAAGAAATGGACAGGGAACTAGACAAACGAAATATTAATTTGTTGTGACAGGTGCTATGATAGGGATAATATTACCAGGTATCTGGGGAGTGCAGAAGAGGGCCATTCAACTAAGACTTTGATCTAAGGGGAGACTTTCCATCATAGAAGGTGTTTCCACAATGAGCTGGTAACAACTAGATGAAGAATGTGGTAAGAGCTCGTAGTGTATATTCCAAGTGTGGAGGCATGAGCGTGCATGACCCATTCAGGGAACTCTGGGAGAGGGGATGGGAGAGACCATCTATGAAACCAGACATGGTTAGTCTGTACCTCATTCATTATAATGACATTTCTTCTGTTTTGGTGGTAAATTATTTCTTCAGCGTTGGCTAGTTCACCCAAGTAGAACTTAACATCTGAACTATTGAAATGTAGGTTGGTTTTTCAGGTGTTGTTTTAAACCATATTTTTGATCATCTATTCTAGGAGTGCTGAAATTCTGTTTACCTCTGCATTTAACATGGTTGACCAGCCTGGTAGATCAAGCCAACGTTCTTGTGGGTATTTGAGGGCTATAAATCAAGTACTGATCCCATTTTCCAAAAGTTTACAGTTTACTTACAATCTCTATGTAATTAAAATGGAAAGTACAAAGTGCTGCAGGGGAAGTACTGGGGAAGTGTTGTGCGGTCTTAGCATGGGACGTCGCTTCCATGGATGGTGCCTGGGCCATACCTCAGATGGACAAAGTGAATGTGGCTGATGACCAGGCTTCAGGGAAGAAATTTTCTTTTTTTTAATTTTTTTTATTTTTTTTTATTACCCAGGTGATTGGTTGCAGCCTGATAGAGAAACATTGATCTCTGGGAATTAGAGGCTTTTTGGAGGTGGTAATGTTCTTGTTGGACTTGAGAGAATTTAGGTTTGAGCTGGGCCTTGAATTACAGGAATTTGGATGTATGGGTATGGTGGTAAGATGGTTACTGCTGGATGAAGGTTTACCCTTAGAAAGGATAAAGAAGAGAAAGTCTGAGTGAGGTGTAGGGAAAGATGATCACAGCCTAAGGAACACTGTGGGAGGGCCTTTTGAGGGAGAGAGTTAGGAGAGTGCTTGAAGGTGCGTACAGGAGATGCAGCTGGAAAGGCCATCAGGGTGGACACTGAGTCCTTGTAGGAGCTCAGTTAATCCTCTGGAGACCTGATGGGAAAGAAAGCTGTTCACTGCATTTAAGGACAGGGACGCTGAGAAGTTAGATTATTGAGCTAGAGTTAAGAAGCTAGGAAGCAGGGAGTGTGGGCATTGGTCCAGGATGTGATCTGTCTAGCCATGATGCTACACTGCCTCACAGATGGTCTTCAGTGGAAGCTTTAGGAGTTTGAACTATATTAATTTTTCTTGGATAATATGGGTAAGCTTCAGACAGATTTGAATTTTAATTTAGTTGGATTCCCACTTATTTGTAAAAGCTAACTGGTTAGCTCTTAACAAATATTCAGAAAATCTCAAATGTTGAATTGTATACTAGCT